ACCCACCTGCAAGGTGTCCATAACCCATGGGGGAGAAGGCGGGTCCTGGAAGCCGGGAAACCACGGAAAGGCACACAGCCTCTCAGAAGGTGTTCCTGGGGTAGGAGCAAGGCACACTCCATGCCTGCTAAGGAAGCAAACCTTCCTGTCAGCAGGTGCTTCTGACCCAGAGAGGCTGGTGAGCTGGGAGAGAACTAGGAGGTAGGTTCTGAGTGGAGTTCAGAAACCCTTCTGTCAGGGATGCGGAAGGGTTGTCTGTGCAGAACCCAGTGAGGCTGGGCCTCTCCCTCAAACAGCTGTGGGATTCTAAGTCCTCAAGTACTGGGTTCAAATACCAGAAAGAGGAGCTGGCACTGTGGCATAACACGTAAAGCCGCTACCTGCAGTGCTGGCATCCCAAGTGGGTACCAGTTTGAGTCTTGGCAGCTTCGCTTTCAATCCATCTTCCTACTAGTGCACCTAGGAAAGCAGTGGATGATGGACAAAGTGCTTGGGCCCTGCACCCACATGGGATATCCAGAAGCAGTTCATGACTCCTGGCTTCAACCACATAGAGAGTGAAATAGAAGATGGACAATCTCTCTCTCTCTGTAGAACTCTTTCAAATATATAAATAAATCTTAAAAAAAAATCCTAGCAACTGCCCAGTGAGCTACGGGAACATGTCTGGCAGGAAGTGAGCATGCCATGTGGTGCTCAAACCCAAGCATGCGCATGTCAAAGGTGGTGGCCGGGAAGCTGCTCACGAGCTCAGGCCCCCAGATCACAGGTGACTGGGAGACTTCCAGCATTTAATCATCTCATTATTTCCCAGGAACAGCCCCAAGCCTCCCGGGGGATGGACAAGACAGGCTGTGGTGTAACTCCATCTCCTGGGCTCTGCCCTGCCACCTGGACCCCCACCCCGCCCAGCCACTCCTCACTACCACTCAGGTCCCAGCTACATCGCTGGGAGGCCACCTGCTCACCTGTGGGCACGGCACAAATCAGCAAGAACGCTTGCCAGGCTGGTCAGAGCCACAGAGACCACAAACTGGGGCTGATGTGGCAGTGCCTGCAGCAAGCTCTCTGAGGGCAGGCAGTAAGTAGAATCCTGTGAAACGAGGTGTCGGGTAGGTACAAGGCGCTACCCACCCAAGGACAAGCAGAGTTCTGGCAACACGCCGGGAGGGCCGGGGTAGTGAGACAGTAGGGGTGAAGCTGAGGCAGAGAGAATACCAGGAAGGGATGCACAGGCCCAGAAAGAACTTTCTTCAAGACGCCAGCAATTTTCGAAGGCCTCTCGCAATAGAACGGCAACTGGAACGGGGCTCTCGGGAACCCCCAGATCTTCTAGCTCTTTGTAAAACTGTCACCATGGTCCTCAAAGTCAAGGCCAGCCTGGGACACAGACAAAATGGTGCAATGGCTCTACTAGCTAAATCCTCCACCTCCAAGTGCCAGCATCCCAAATGGGCACTGGTTTGTGTCCTGGCTGCTCCATTTCCCATCCAGCTCCCTGCTTGTGGCCTGGGAAAGCAGTCGAGGATGGCCCAAAGCCTTGGGACCCTGCATGGGAGACCCGGAAGAAGCATCGGACAGGTTCAGCTACAACCACTGCAGCCATTTGGGTAGCAAATCAGCAAATGAAAGATTTTCTTCTCTGTCTCTCCCCTCTGTAAATCTGCCTTTCCAATAAAAATAAACAAATATCTATTTTAAAAAGACCCATTCGATTGACACGGGTACATATGGGCTCCTAGCATGTGTCGGTCAGCCTAGGAGACAAATACAGACACTTCTGTTTTAGAATTACTCCCAGTACTGCAGAGTGCCCCCATTTTTAGAGACAAGGCTCGCAGAGAGAAAGAATGTACTCAAAGTCACCTAAGCCACGTGGCATGCTGGAACTTGCTCCCGAGACCCAGGTGTGCCACGGTGATGGCTGCAAGCTGCAATGAACCTTTCCCAGACCACTCATGGAGGCACCCAGCGAGCATCGCACCTGCACCCTCCCCTCTCGGTCCTGGCCTGGGCAGACAGGAGGACAGCAGAGGGTCGACGGCAAGACCAGCCAATGAAATGACAAATGGACCTCACACAAGCCCAGCCAGCTGCCAAAACAGAAGCAAAACTCAGAGCGCATCAGAGCTGGGGAAAAATAGAAAATCAACCTGAAAGTGATGAACGACAAGGAAGGAACAGAGAAGCGAGTTAGCAAAGTGACACAAAACTGCCCAACAGCAAAAGAATGAACGAATGCAGGGAGGAAGGGAGGGAAGAAGGGACCCCAATAAACAGGCAGCCAGGGCAGCGAAATGTCCACCTTGGGATGAGCTAGAGTCAAGCGAGGTCCAGGCCGTACTCCCACTATGCTCCCTGCTTCCCACATGCCTGCTTCCCACCCCCGGGTAGCTTGACCCCATTCTCCAAGCTCCCAGATGGCCAGGTCCTCTGCACTGGGACAAACACCCCCACATACATAGCCCCACCAAGTGCATTATTCTGCGACCCCGTCCCCAGCAACCTGGCACTGCCCTGGACCTGGTAGAGCCAGCGGTAGGCAGAGTCGGTCACTCTCCCTTTGAGTACATCACAGAGGAAGGGGCAGGGATAGCAGGCCTGGGTTCTGGGCCTAGCCTGGGTGACAATCGCTGGGTGACTTCCAGGCAGTGACTTGGTCTCTCTGAGCCCAACAGCTTGCATGGCCCTTCCGGTCTCTGGAGCCTGGGTTTCTGGCTTTTCCCTAGAGTTAACAGAAGTATCTGAGAGATAGGGCCCGGAAAACAGTCCAAAGAGTCCTGGCCCGAAGCATCAAGGCTTGCTAGGACAGGGCCTGGTTGAGTCTGCAGGCCTGGCTGGAAACTCCCCCTGCCCCAGTGCCACCTCTCCTGCTCCCCAAGCAACCCGCCTGGATCATGCCACCCCCGCTGAGCCACTGGTAGGGCCCCGAGTCACAGCATTCTCACTCTTCCACCCCCATTCCCCTGGGCTCCACCAACAACAAAGACTCTGGAAGGATCATGAGTGGAGCAGAGGGAAGCAGTCACAGGGTCCATGCCAGCCCCATTCTGCCCAAAACAAACTGCCCAAAGGTCAGGGTCCTCAGCAGGCACACGAGTGAGTACCGCCCCCCCCCCCCCCCCGGGGAGGCCTGAGCATCCCCCAGGGGTGGCCTGAGCATCCGGGTCCCAACACAACCTTCCTCCTCTCTAGCCGTGTGACCTCAGGCAAGTCACTCTCCCTTTCTACATCTTAGTTTCTCAGTCTGTACACAAATGGCCAACCTGGCACCCTCCAGCCCAAGCATGCCAAGCTCTGCAGCCCAGGGCCGCTGTGCTTCGGGAGCAGCAGAGCCAGAGGTGCCCTCAGGGTCCCCTGCCAGAGGTGCTGGGGCAGGGGCGAGCTCCACTCGGAGCTGAGAGCCGCCGACTTGGGAGGGACCAGTCCCCACCCTGCTCCTGGAGCCTCGGACACGGCCAAGACCCCGGGGAGCCAATGGGCCAGCTTGGTCTTCATACCCTAAGTGTGACTTTAGCAACTTTATGGAAATCCAAACTGCCTCGGACTCAGAGCCTGCAGGGTGTTGCGTGGGGTGGCAGAAGGTATGCCACACGGGCCAGGCTCCCCCCCACAGTGGACTAACAAACCAGACAAGACCCACCAGGGCTGCAGGTCTGCTCCAGGGGAGAGGGGCCTCCACCCCCAGATGCCACCTCCGGGTGGGCTGGGAGGGCCGGGCCGCAAGGTTGGCTAGAGGGCCCAAATGCAAACAACCAAGCACGCTGAGCTGAATTCAGGAGGCAGGGTCACCCCACCCCCGCAGCAGGATTGCCACCTACAGGGGGGTCCTGGCCACCCATGAAGAAGACAGGCCCACCCCCCTACACCCGGCTCCTGAAGGGTCCACACTACCAGAATGCAGCGTTATGTCCTGTGACAGGGGTCCTGCGTGGACACCTGGGGCCCAGCCGCAGTCAGCCAGCCCTGCTGTCAGCCTTGCCCCCGACACAGCAGAGGACAGAGTTCCCTACCATGTCCCCCCCTCCCGGAAACACATCCCCAGTCCACCCCCCCAACACCAAACCCTCCCATCCCTAACCCTCCATGTCTCCTGGCTCTCAGGAAACCCACAGTTAACTTTTCCCCCAAATCCTGCAAAGGCGGCTGGCCTGCCGGGGGACACAGACCCGGCCTGAGACCCCCCGGGACCACATTTCACCACCTTCCAGAAAAAAGAAGAAAGAGAAAGAAAAAGAAACCTTCTGAAAGAAGCCAAAGAAAAAGGAAGAAAGAAAGAAAAAAAAAAACTTTCCGAGTTAACTTTAAATTCCCAGCCCTCCCCCCGAAACCACCCGGCAGCTTCCCCCCCCTTTTTTTTTCTTTAAAGCGCAATTGCATTGTGTCTCACCTCCCGGCAAGCCTCGGCTCTCGCCAAAGAAAAGGAAAAAAGCCAACCCTTTGGGTGCCCCTCCGCTTCCAGCCGCCTCTCCCACATTCTCAGACAGTTTTATTAAAATTTTCAGACAAAAGAAAAACAAAAATGGCAGCCTGGCTTATTTTTAAAACAGGACAGGGACGCCATATTCTGCAGATCTGCAAAAAAAGGGGAGAAATCCGGCACCGGCCGCTCCACCCGGCCGGCTACGAAGTGCGCGAACCGCGCCGTTTGCAACCCGTTTATTTGCATTAAGCCCCATGAATCATTGTTTACCGGAGAATTGCGGCAGGTTTGAATAGCCCGGCTCAGGGAGACACACGCGCGCGCGCCCACTCGGAGCCCGGCCCCAGACACGCCGCCCGAGACACTTCCGACCCCACGCGCCGCCGCCTCGCCGCCGCCGCCCCGGGCCGGGCCCCGGGCACGGGCGGCCCCCCGGCCCTCGGAGCACCCCAACCCGCGCTGACAGCGTCCGCGCCCCGACCCGGCCCCCGCCCGCAACTCCGCGCAACTTTCCCGCGGGCGGGCGCTCGCCGCCCCCGCCGGGCCCGCTCTCCGCGCGCCCCGAGCCCGCACGGACCTGGCTGTGCTGGCGGCGTCTCCGGGAGGCGGCCGCAGCCCCGCGCCCGGCGGCCCGAGCAGGGCCCGGCTAGGGGCTCCGGCGCCGGCTCGGGCTCGGGCTCCGGCGCGGTGCAGAGAGGCGCGCAAACCTTCCGGGTCGCCTGCTGTTCACTTCTGGGTTCTGCAAGCGCCGAGGCGACGGCGGCGGCGGCGGCGGCGGGAGGCTGGGTCTGCAGCGCCGCGCGGCCCCCCGTGCGCTCGGCGAGCCCCCGCGCCAGGAGCCGGGCTCCGGGGACCGGGGGGACGGGGTGTGTGTGTCGGGGGGGGCGCGTCGGGCCCCCGACTCCTCGGCTGCGCAGCCCGCCCGCCCCGGGGGCTCCCGCGAGTGGGCAGCGGCGGGCGCGGGCGCGCAGGGGAGGGGGCCGGCGGGGGGCGGGGGTGCGCGCGCGCGCGGGGGGCTCCCCGCTCGGGCCCCGGGGCCTCGTCTCGCGCTCGCCGCCGCCGCCTCGCAAAGTTGCACGGCACCCCGGCCGTTTGCGCCTCGCCGCGCCGCGCCGGAGGCAGAACCACAAAGGAACTCCTCGGGCCCCTCCGCCCGGCCCGGCCGCGCGCGCGGGGAGGGCACCGGCGCCCGGCCCTAGGACAGCCCCTTCCCCAGCGCGGGGACTCCCGGGGCCCCGGCAGCTGCGGCCATTGTCCCGCCCAGGCCGCGCAGCCTTGCCACCCACTTCCCGGAGAACCTAGGCCAGGCCGCAGCCAGGGCCCTGACCAGGCCGCGCCCGCACGGTGCCAGACTGCCCCGGGAGGGAGGGGGTTCACCCTGGAAGACCCCCCCAAAGTGGACCCTCACACCTGATGACAAACCATTGGGTTCAAAATCCCGGCTGAGATTTTTTTTTTTTAATGAGTCGAGGGCATGGAGGTGGTTGGGGGGAGAAGTTTGCACGACCGGGCCACCCCTCCCAGTCCTTAGGCCTGAAGGCCAGCGGTCCGGGTGGCCCATGGCTGGCAGCGGCTCTTCTCACAGACTCGATCAGAGGTGGCACCGGCTGTCCCCCAGCTCCAGACCTCAGAGCCATCCGTGTGACTCCTCCTCCCGCCTCACCCTCCCCAGCCAATCAGTCACCAAGTGCTGGTGACTCGGCCTCCCGGGCTGTGTCAGCTTCCAAACTTCACTTCCACCTGGGGCAGCGCTAGGTCCAGGCTGTTTTCTGTGCCGCTCACTCGTTGCCACCCACCCTTGAAGACCAGGAGCCATCGGGGGTGGCCTTGTCCTCAGGAAGCACCCAGAACCCCAGAAAGCACACACCTGCCAGTGTCTGCCTGCTCCCTGGAACAGCATTTGCCAGTTCAGGAAATGCTCACTGAGGCCCCACTAAGTATCAATTGGCTGGGAGCGCTGCTGGGAACAAGATGGGCCAAGTCCCTGCCCCCAGGGTGACAAATACTGAGCGTCCAGGCGCTGGTCTCCCATCCCCAGACCCCAGGCTCCGTGTCCTGCACAGAGCCGGATATGGAATATGTGTGTCTGTGGCTTCGCTGGGATGCAAAGCAGGTGCACAGCGGAGACCACTCCTTTTCCCAATGAGGAGAAGCAGGTCTTCAAGCATTGGCTGGGAGAGGAACCAGGCAGAGGAACAGGGAAGGCCTCTGTGGTCAAAGCACCTGCCCTTTGTTGAGGAACTCGGTGGAAAAATCAGTGTAGAGTGGGGGAGGAGGGGAGCGTGGTCTGTGCAGGGCAATTCCAAATTCCCTTTGCTGGACTTGAGGGAGGAGCGCGTGGAAAGGAGCCCAGGGGCTGTCCAGCGCACCCTTGCAGCGAGAACAGCGCGCAACCACTGCTTCTCCCATGTGTGCAGGATCAACCCCAACACGCACAGATGGTGTGGACAGCGCAAGGCTTGATGGGAAGGGATACAATTGACTCTTGGCCTTGGTGGCAGTCCTTTGGGAACCTGTCACTCCAGGGTTGTCAGGAGACAAACAGCAGACAATGGTATGGCATTCCACCAAACACCAGCACACCTCCCGACAGCCATGGTGGAGACCAGCTTCAGCCACTGCTTGGGATGCCCACCCCTCTGTCAAGATGCCCACATGTTAGAGCACTTAGGGGAGGCCCCTAGCTCCTCTGCTTCCTGTGCACTTTCTGTGGTGGGCATCCTGCTTGCTGCCCCCCCGGGAGATGCAGCTGGAGTGCCAGGCTTCCATGGAGCCTGACCTCTGCTTATGGGGGCTGTCAGAGAGGGGACCAGCGGGTGGATGATCTTTTTCTGGTTCTCAGCCGTTCTCTGCCTTTCAAATAAAAAGGAAATAAGCAAATGTTTAAATCCCAATGAAGTTTAAAAAATGTACATATTGATGTCATCAGAAACATGAAGTCTGGGAAATCATCGAATGCAGAAGAGCCTAAAGGGCCGTAGGGACCTGGTGTCCTGGCCAGGGGTGGGGCGGGGGAGGGCAGCTGGAACAGAGGCCGGTTAGCAGGTAAAACCAAGGCTGTCTAAGTGAAGGACAGACTGCCGTCAGTAACATGTGTCAATGGTTATGATAGCGTGTAGTAGCATTGTATGTTACTCATGGAGAAAATGGAGGAAGTAACCTGGGAGCTCTTCTGTAATAGCACCTGGCTTTTATGTGAATCTAAAGATGCTTTGAAAGAGAAAATCCACTCAAAAATGTGTGTGTGTGTGTGCGCTCGTGTGTGTGTGCGCGCACGCGTAAAGTACCGCTGTGACATGCCTGGGAGGTTCCCTGACAATCAGCTGTCCACAGCATTTAACACAAGACTTCTAAATGTGTGTCATCATCATCACTACCATCCGCTTCATCATCATCCTAGGTCCTTGGAGGAGCACATGCAAAGAAAGGCGCAGGGGTTTCGGGTGGAGAGGAAGTGGGTGACCCCGGAGGCCTTGAGGCTGCTGACCGTGACCCGGCCGTTCCTGCTCCCAGCGCCTGGAGCACTGAGCCGCAGCCATGCAGCGTGAGCCCCAGCACACGTAGCACTCCCGTTTCTGGAAGTTCTCTTCACAGGCTGCTCCTTCCTCCTTGAAGAACCTCTGGTACTCTTCCACCTCCCTTTTCCAGCCACTCTTCAGGTCTTGGCTTACACAGCTTCTAAAAGACCTTTTAGAACTTCCAAGAGTTTGCTAGCATGGTCTGGATGAGGGGCGGGGGGAGATGTGATGTGTGGTATGGGAGGCCCAGGAGGGAGGAAGTGAGCTGGGCTCTTGGCTTCAACCGCCTGCTGCCACAGCCCCACCAGATGCTGTCCGGACCTGCACACACGGGGCACCTGTATGCCTCTCTGTCTCTGTCCGTGCTGAGGTCTCTGAGGCTTCCCTCTGTCTGGCAGATGTTAGTTTTATGAAGGCTCAGCTCAAAGAGCTCCTTCTCCAGGAAGCCAAGCTAGATCCTCTGCACAACGAGACAGACTTCCTGTGGTCCTCGAGGCCTGCCTGGTCCTCCATCAGCCACATTGTTGACACAGCACTTTATCTGCCATGGTGTGTCAGAATCGATGCTCACTGGATGAATCTAGAGACAACGGGATGGTCTGTGAGGTCAGGTGTGTCCTCTCCGATCCCCCCAAATCTTCTTACTCCTCTAGGAAAACTCTGTGCCTGCTCCAAAGCACCAATGGCCCGCAATTTCGGCTTTTACCATCTGGCCCTTAATCGTGTCCTAACTGTTATATGCATGAGGGTCTGTCCACTGGATTAGAGTAAACACGGATAATGGTGTCTAATGCTTTCTGTATGTTTCACTCATTCATTCATTCACTCATTCATGCAAGCCTACTGCAATGGCTCGGGCTCTGAGGACACAGCAGTGGACAAGCCCTAGCCCTGCTCAGAGACAGCGCGGTAGCCAGCAGATGGCAATTGTACCTCTTCGGCTGCAGGGTCTCAGTCCCCGCGGCTGTCCCCTGCTCCCTCACGGCATGAGCCTGCCTATCCTGGTCCACTGCTCTCATCCCCCAGAGCCCAGGGTTACATCCCCATGGAACCTGCAGCTGTATCCGCTGGAGCTCATGATCTCCTTAGCTACCTGCGTAGGTTTCTCCCAGCCTCAGCCGGCAAGGGACACATGTCACTCCTAGGCACCCATTGGTGCCTACCACAAGGGAAGCTGGGAAATAAAGTGCTCCCCAGAAGGAGAGAACTGGATATACTCTGGGTGAGCTTTGTCACTCTTGGTGCCAGAAGCCAGGCTCCACCAGAACTTATTTAGCTCACTAGCTCATGGGGTCTTGTAAGCGCTTACGAGACCTGTGGGACCTGAGAGGGCTTGAAGGATGCCCAGGAAGTCAAGGCTACAAAGTATCTGCCTGGCAGCTCTGGGGTAAGGAGGAGCTTGCTGGAGGAGACCATGAGGTACAGTGAGGTGGCTATCCGAAATGGAGACGAGCAGAGAAGGGACAGGGGATGGCAGTTGCAAAGAACTGACTGCAACAGAACCCAACAGAGAACAGGATGTCTGGGGTTTGTTTGCTCACTGGCCTTGGCAGAGGTGGAGAGAAGAGACAGGGCATGGCAGCCGGTGTGGCAAGTGAGCAGGTGCCCTCCTGGGGTCTGCACTCCCCATTCTGCTGCAATCCATGCATGCTCAGGGTGTTGGCACCTTGGGGTCTTTCCCGGCCTTCTCGTCCCATTGGCAACCTGTTCCTCAGTCCTTGGGCTGCCCTGCACCTCCTGTTGGAACTAAACATAGTCTTAAGCTGCAACGCTTTGGCTTTCTACCTGGATCTCCTCACTTGGAAACGGTTCTTGCAGTGTGCTGACCCACACTCCCCATCACTCCAGAAGCAGAAACCTCCGAGACTTTTCTCATCGCTTCCTAAGGTGATCAAGAGGATGGGGGTCATTTATACCTGCCTGTGGCTGCTCTGCCTTTTAGGTAGTGATATAATTCCTATCACTGTAACATTAATACTCCCCACTCTTAGGGAGTAGGGCAAGGAAATAAACTGCTCTCACTTTCTCCAAAGAAACCTCAAGTTCTGGCTGGCTGCTGAGCAGAGCTACCCACAGAGCTTCGGCTACACCAGCACTGTCTGTGATCTGAGCAGAAAAAGTCTACGTTGCCCAGCAGCACAGTGATGGGGATAATGGTCCCCCTGACTGCACATGGTCTGACCTCTGCCA